TTTATCTCTATCTTCTCCGGCTTCAGCCAGGCACTGAGTTGAACAAGCACCTGCAATTCTGAAATCAACCACCAAGGAAATTTCTGTTTGCCAGAGCTATGCTTTTTAGGGGTTTTGATCCAAGTGTGTGGTGCTGATTTTGATTCCCATGCTTAGGGTGGCTGTCTCTACAAATGAAGTTTGTTCAAGTAATCCCAGAAGTGAAGTCTTGCCATGAGAAAGATCAGGCCTCAGGGCTAGGCTGGAGTTCCGTATGCTGTGCATTCGGTTCTTACAATCTTTTCAGCTTCACTTCACACAGTAATTTTCTAAACTTTCCTCGATTGATTAGTGGCACCTCAAGGTTGATTTCTGACTGCAGCAGTCCATCTGGCGCTAGCCATTAGTGCTTTCTAATACACAGAAAGTAATTCAGTGTTTGACTTTACTAATTAAAGTAGTTTGGGTGTTGGGTTTTTTTGCCCAGATGATTCTTTTTTTCTTTTACTTAACTGACACTAAAGCAAAAAATAACCTGCTCTTGAATGGACTATAGCCAAGACCTTGCAAAAATTTTGGCAGAGCTCAGACAAGGATTTTTATGATGAAAACTTTTGACATAATAAAAGAAATTGTTCTGCAGAGACCTTTGAAGTGACCCCAGAAAAAAACAATGTAAACCTCCTGTCTCCCTGGGGACAACGAGGAGGTCTGAGTTAATTGCCAGCATCTTTAATCTACATCTCTCTTATGGTTTTCACTCTGGAGTTTTAGATTGATTCTGATTAGCTTAACTAGAAGACCTGATTCTGTCCCCAATTATGCTACTATAAATCAGACGAGCATCTTTGTTACAACTGATGAAATTATTGTGGCATGAGCAAACCAGGAGGATCAGAATCACAGAAGAGAAGGCATTAAAAAAATAAAAATTGGATTCTCTACTCTCATCCTGCTCATAGTAGTATGGTGATCAGCGAGCTCCTGACTGGGGACTGCATGAATGGTGTCCAAGCCAAAGATCAGCAAAGTCAAAATCTATCTTTATGTTCACTTGAGTGAGCTTTCCATTAAATCCTTGTGCTGATGGGAGAGAGGATCAGACACAAGTCTCGGGGCTTTGGTACTCAGCCTCATAGGTATTAATGGGAGACAAATGATTTATCCCATCCCTGCGTGTGCTCTGTAAGAGGTAAAAGACTGAATGAGCAAGCAAGGAGAATCAGACTGAGCATCATACGGGATCTCCCATGGGTTAGAGGACAGCTTTGTTCTCTGCCCAGAGTCTCAGTCCTTCGAAGGCAAAAATCATTTCCCTCTGCTAAGACGGCAACATCTCCTTTCCCACTGGGTCTGTAGCATGTGATTACGGTTGGCAGCACCCTCTAGGACAACCTTGCCAATCATCTTAATTGAATCTTTCAGCTATTTCCCTGCAGCTGCAAATTTTAGTGTGCCACGTATCTTGCACATCTTTTTCATCAGAGCAGAATTAGGAAACGTGTTTCTTGCCATCTTATCTCTGTTGATAAATAATTGTATGTTGCATTTATTGGAAGCTTTGAACTGGTACATTTGGAGACACTGTTTAATATGTCTGTCTGTGAACAACCATGGCTTGAACAGAATTTAATTACTGAGAATGGATTGCTGAGATTGGAAAGCACAAGAAAGGTGCTTCAGGTCCTTGGAAGACATCTATAAAGGGCTTGAAGGGCCAAATGCTGGAGCTGCAGTCAACTGGATTAATCAGATTGGAAACTGAAGAGAGGGGGAAGTCATTTCTGCTTAGCGAAGTAGGTGATATTGCATTCGGGGTGCCCCAAGGGAGGAACAGTAGATAATGCAACACTGAAAAAAATATATCGGTGTTTTGGGGAGAATAGCAAAAGATGCTAGCTTTCCCTCTGAGTTCATCTGGTCTGAGAATAAGTGTGTAGGATCAAACTGTGCATTGCAGCAGTGAACCTTGCACCAGTGCAGATGCCTTTGACTTGGTTCCAAAAAATATTTAAGAGTTTAGTTCGTGGTGTATAGACCAGCTGTTGGCAAATTCAAATGGTCTGGTTCCCATTTGCAGCAAGGCCTTGCTGGGCACATGCAATGAGATCTTCTAGTACGTAAAAATGTATTTGTAATGTCATTCGGAGCACTTTAAAGGACAGCAGGAAAGATGTCCACAGCATGGCAAGAATCAGGCTGTAAAAATCATAGACGCTGTTTCGGTCCAGACAGGTGGCTGTGCATGTGTGTTGTCCTGCATTTCTCCAGCGCTATTTGATTAAAAAAAGAAGACAGATGTCTGTGAGCACGCTCTCTTACAGATTGCTAGTACTCTCTAATCCTTGGCAGCTCAGGAATCCTTCCCCTAGGTACTGCTGCATTTATACTGGGTGGTGAGTCCAAGAATGAATCCACAAAGATGTCAAACAGGAGAACAAAAGCCCAGCGGTCTGTTTATCCCTCCTGTGTCCCTTTGCTTTACAAGTGAGTAGTAAATAATGCAAATTCTAATTAACATCTTAAATATTCTGAGATCCAGATGAGCATTTTCAGCCTTCCAGAGGAGAAACACAGTGTGATGATTGATTCTTGCTGAAAATGCTGTCTAGCATGCAAGAAAAATCCCTCTATAAGTGTTGGTTGGCCCTCACTCTTGTCTCAGCGGCTGTTTCCCAGGTGGGGAGCTGGCAGCGCCTGCAGAAGCCCAACAGCAGCCCGCAGGTAACTCCTTCCGTAGAGAGGGCTCTCTGTTTAATCGTTTCAATGCATTCTGTTTGAGGATTGCCAGCCAAATGCAAATTTGGTGAAGAGGTGTATCCAATATGTTTGGAGGCTCTGGGTTCATTTTTCACCCCCGAGTGTATATGGACGGAGCACCTGCCGTTCCAGCTGTGGCAGCCTGACTCTGAAACGCCCACCCAAATAGAGGGGAAGAAAGGGAGAGAACTTTGAACAGCACAAAGGAGATCGTTTCTTAAGTAGTTGGCAGTGATTCGGTTTAGCCTTGTGTCACCTCCCAACTTGATCCCTCCAGTTTTCCCGTGAACCTACACAGGCATGGAGTGCAAGAGACGGTCGGCTGCTGTGCACAGCCCATACAGGCAAGGGAGGCGGCCAAAAAGAACTTTGCTCACTATTAATGTTTCAACCCTGTTAAAGGAAAGGCTGCAAAGGGCAGGTTGAGTTTGATTGCTTGTCCGTTTCACACCGCTGAACAGACTGATTACTGCCTGTGTCTGCCTAGACAGCTTAACCCCTTCCCAGGCTCCACGGTGAGTAACGGCAGTTGCGTCCACACACACACACAAAAAAAGTGTCTGTTGCTGAATACCACAAATTGATCTCTGGAGTTCATGTTGACCAAAAGCATTCTTTTTGGTTTTGTTAAACCCGTGCCACTGGAAGCATAGCATTGCTGTCTGATCCCTGTACGTCACTAACCAGCAGCGAGGATGTGATATGAAAGAATATCTAATGCACGTAACGGGGAACGGGAGAGGTGGGTACAGTTGGTGTAAATACAGCCAGCATGTCATCAGACCTGATTGCTCAAAGTCTTTAGCAATGCTGACAGAGTAAAACAGCTGCAGGGACAATTTTTACCTGCTCCTTGGCACATCATGTTTATTGGGTTTAGCGTGGAGCTGTATGCGCCGGCTGCTTCTCACCCAGCTGCGTGGTGGGCGTAAAGTTACACGTGCTTCAATGCGGGAATTGGGTTTGAAAACTTGCTGGTAAGACATGGCCACATTCGTCTTTAGGGTGAGAGGAATCAAGAGTAAGTAGTGTTTCTGTTCCAGCACCCATCAGCTGACACAAGGTGCTCTGACGGTCTCAGGGAAACTGAGTACTGATGGTTGTGTGCACAGCAATGCTCTCCCCCTTGCAGGTGTGGTCATATACCAAACAGCCCTATCTAGGAGCTTCTTCCAGCTCCTTGAGTAAAAAATCAGGAGAAAAGTGGCAAGGATTCATGTTTGGCTTCCCTGCAAGTGTTCTGTCCTGATGCTCCAGGTGTGACAAGTACGTTGTTTTTTTTCACTGCCTCAACAGCAAGTGCTTTATGGATCAGCTTTTCCATACACGCCATACAGGAGGTCCTCACACCAACGAGGCTTCATCCTTTTCTTGTTCACAGCAAGCTAATTCACAGTTCCTTCACTGCAAACATGGTTTAAATCAGGAATGGTGCCACTGAAATTGGAGGCAGGCGGCAATTCTTGGTTTATGCTAGGACCACCAAGGCTCACATTAGGCGTAGCGAATAGAATGCGTCAGTGCAAGTAAATTCAGAGAGGAGCTTTGATTTTGTTGGAAATGGTGCTGGAATTTCAGCTCTAGGACTAGTAGCGAGATAGCACTAGAAGCTTGGTATGTTTTATCTAAATAAGATGTGTAAATTACATGGCAGAATTCGCTTTGCTCTGCACACAGCCTGTGTGGTGTTAATTAAATCCTCAGCTTCTTTTTTAGTGGAAGGAAGATTGCGAAAACTAGTATGAAATCAATTCTACATTTAATTAAAGTAACTCTCTTCCATTCAGACGCTTTCCCACTATGATACTGGTGATGCAGTTGCACGGGTGAGCCAGTAGGAATCACAAAGAAAACAGTTTTACAGAAACAAAATTAACTTAAAAACTTGGGGATTTTATGGGTAGCATTACAAAACCAGGGGCCTAAGGTGAAAAGCCCAGATCTCTGCACAGAGAGGCGTTTGCTTTGTTTGTAATCCTTCCTTGGGATTTCTTTGTGCCGGCTCAGAAGCAGTGTTTCAGATGCTTTATTGTAATGTTTTATCATTTTAATTGTACTAGACTCCTGTAGAAACCTCAGGCCTTTGGTCACACACTGCTGCCATCCTAAGCCAACTGGGAAAAGAAGCACAGCAGGTCTACGTGGATGGATGATGGGAGGTGCTGTGGAGTGATGAATACCAGGCACTATCAGAAGATGGATGTTTACTAACTTTTTGGTTGACTCTTGTTCTTACACTTTCTTTCTCTGTCTTCCTGTAGGTTATAACCCTGGAAGGATGGGTTGACATCATGTATTATGTGATGGATGCACATTCTTTTTACAATTTTATATATTTTATATTGCTTATAATAGTAAGTATGAACTGTGAGATGCTCCCATTCCTTGTCCTTGTGGGGTAAAGTTGTTCCCTGGGCTTTTCACAGAGGAGAGCCAGCTAGGGTTCAGAGTGGGATACTTTCCTCCCGCCATAAAGCGTAATCATGCAGGTTATGATTAGGGCTGTGGGGACAGATTATTGGCTACAACAGTCCTTTTTAGTGTCACATGTAATGCATAGTCACAGTTTGTCAAGCCATATGGTCTTCCCTCCCTCTTACTCTCCCAGACTTGGTCTTGTCACCTTGATGTGTCCTAACTGTTGTGCTTTGGCCAAGCAACTGCTAATCAGAACAAAAAGAGAAGAGGCTGTAGCTTTTCTTCCTTTAGGCTCCTCAATATGTCAGAGGACACCTCATGTCAGTGAAGGGCCCTCAAACTATTGAACTTCACCTGAGCCCTTTAAATAACAGTAATAATAGCAGTGCACCTTTCTGAGGTGCTGTCGTTCCTAAAAACAAAGTATTACTCACTGGAGGTGCTGGAGGTTACCTTCAGAAGCTGCCATCCCGTGTTAGCAAGGTTCATTTTTGTTTTGTTTTGTTTTTTTTTTACGTTGGGCACAACCTTCTTCAGGGTCTGCATCTGTAGAAAAGTTATGCATTTAAGTTAGGAAGAGAACAGAGGGAAAAGTACCATGTAGATGTCAGGCAGGAAATGGGATGGAAGCAAAAGTGCTTTTGTGGCTGGATAGTCTTAGTATATAACCCCATCCTCATCAATGTGGTTTTAAAGGCCTTGGGAATTCAAACCACCACAGCTCCCACCACCAGTGGCAAAGGCATGGATCAGAGCAGCGCGAGAGTTTCTCAGTAATGGATAGCATTCTGAAGCCAGTGATTTTTGAGCCTTTAGCAATGGGCCACACATAGTAGAGATTTACGGTCCGCTCTTTTGAGCTCTTCTCTACATATGGATCCTTGCAGAAAAGCCAGAAGGTGACTAATCTCCAAGTCACTTGGAGCTGGGAATGGCACCCTTGATGCTTCTCAAACAGTATCTAGGCTGATATTACATGCTGGAGAATAGCACTGCAAACCATCTCCCAACGGCTTCCCCTGAGGATTCACCAAACAATGGACCAGATTAAATCCATATGTTTCCTACTGAGCACAGCACAGAGGTTTGGCCATGTAGACAGTGGCACTTCGTTGACGTCAGTCCCTTTCACGCCTAAGGGCACTGATTCTCTGATGAGAATATGTGACATTTTCCTTTGGCTGATTTATGAACCCAGGTGGTGAAAAAACAGTTTGTGGACTCAACAGCTGAGGGGAGGATGTAGTCTTAGGTCACTTCACATTCTTGTCCTTAGGACTTCATTTTGAAAACCTGGTATCACCCAAGAACACATCAACTCAAATAGACAATAAATCAGGCCTTTCTAGGAGCACTGAATCTCCTGGAGACACATTTCTCTGTGTCAGAGAGATGCAAGAGTACAAGGTCACCGATACATGGACCCTGACTGTCCTCCTCAAAATGAGGGTGCGCTAAGCCAGGGTGTGAATTGATAGTTTCAGTATAGCACAAATTGGACTTCGGACCATCTTTCCTTGAGGGTTGGCCGGGTGTTTCCTATTGATCTGTTTTGTGGTGGTAACTGATTACGCTGTGTTTCATACACCCTGCATTAGTAGCAAATGTCATCACTGTTGAGGGGAAGAAAGTGAAGGCTATTGTTAAGAGCTTTCTTTGCCATTGCCAAAATAATTTAACATGGTTTAGGAGCAAATTTAGCAGCTCAGGCACATGTTGACATAACATTTGGTGAGCAGACCCTGAGATTTGGCATGTTTGGAAATCTTGGGATTTCTAAGAACCACACTTCAAGTCCAGGCAGTGTGTGATGGTGAATAAAGTGTCTTGCTTTGTAAAGTCCCTACTGATTCTTTTCCCTGTGTTTTCTCCAGGTTGGTTCCTTCTTCATGATTAACTTGTGCCTGGTTGTGATAGCAACACAGTTTTCTGAAACAAAGCAGCGGGAGAACCAGCTGATGCAGGAGCAGCGGGCCCGTTATCTCTCCAACGACAGCACAATTGCCAGCTTCTCGGAGCCAGGTAGCTGCTACGAGGAGCTGCTCAAGTACATCTGCCACATCTTCAGGAAGGTGAAACGGCGGACAATACGTCTGTACAATAACTGGCAGAGTAAGCGCCGGAAAAAAGTTAACCCAAATAGCACCACAAATGGGCAAAGCCACCGATGCAAAAAGCGTATCACTTCCATACACCACCTCATCCACCATCACCATCACCACCACCACCACCACTATCACATCAGCAATGGGAGCCCTCGGGGGCCACGCTCCAACCCTGAGATCTGCGACCTGGAACTCAAGGTCATGAAACCTGGAGGCCAATTGATGCTTCCTTCTCCATCACCCAACTTGCAGAGCCCCGCTCCTCCTCCAGATTCGGAGTCTGTGCACAGCATTTACCATGCAGACTGTCATGTTGAAGGACCGCAAGTGAACTGTAAGTCTTCCAATGCCCCTGCAAGCATTAAGCTGACTGCCGGACTCTCCAACCATGGCAACATGAATTATCCTACCATCCTGCCTTCTCCAACTAGCAAAGCCAGTTCTGTTCCAGTTCCCAAAGGAAAGAAGAACGGCAATTCACCTGTGGCCGTGGTTAATAGCCCTGTAAATATGGGCACGGAATCTTATGGGAAGCTGCAGCAACTGGTAGGAGAGCATGGTAAGGACAAACAAGTTGATTTTTTTTTGCTTAGGAAAACTGAGCAAAGGGCAAATTGCTCAAGAGTTAATGATAGCCATGTAGGGTGCTGAAGATGGAGACTGTTTTGTGAATGCTATTTGAACTGAGCGCTGAAGCCCAAAGTAGGACAGGTTGAGGGACTGAGAGCTCTGTTCCTTCTACCCTTGTATTTGCAGTCATTGGGTAAAGATGCAGGATAGTCCAGGCAGTGAGTTCAGGCCACTGCTGGAGACCTCTTTCCTGTGATTATACGGCATGTGTTTTTGAGCTCCTCTCATGTGGTTAATGATATTCTGGAGGTTCTCCCTCTGTTCCCACCCAAGAACAGATCTGTGCAGTCCCTGGAATTACATCTGTGGTGAATGATGGACCTGCTGGCTGCAGCCCCAACTACTGTAGAGCAGGTGGAAGCTGGTGGAGAAGCATAAAATGTAGGAAACGTAAGAAGTTTAAAACAGGGAGGCACTGAAAGAACTCAAAACAGACACTTATAGAAACCCCTAGTTCTGCTCTGACAGGACCCTTAACCCCTGAATTTCTTTTTGGCAAGAAGGAGCAGAAGGTTTGGAGGAAGGCCCGTGGCCACTTCAGAGTCTTCCTCTGTGCTAGTCCTCGGAAGATGCATGTGAGGGTAGGAGCTACAGGTCTCAGGCTTTCCCTCTTGTCTTTCCCCGTGTGCAGAAGAAATGCAGCACTGAGTGTTTCTGCAGATTTGGAGCTCCATTCGGTCTGAATGATTGAGGAACATCTTGGGGACTCTTTTCTACCTCTGTCCCATCCCTATCTGTATAGACTGCAGCCACACCAGCATTGCTGGTTAGTGTAGTTTTATCTCCCTTTAGGTATAAATCACCCACTGCTGGAGTAGTCATTGCATGCAACACTTGGGTTTCTATTTTGCAAAATGTTTCCAGACCTTGTGGCTGGAGCTAAAGGCTGAAAAATAGTCTTAAGCCCTCAAACAGAAAAATTCAAAAAGATGTAGCTTCTATTTTTTAATCTCTTTAAGCCAAACTCGTCATCTGTCTTTTTCAATGCCTGTGTTTTCCAAAACTGTTTATCTGTGTGTGCATGGACACAAATGTTTATCCTAGTGATGTATGTGCTGAAAAAATACCAAGCCTAGCTTGGGGGGAGGGGTCACGGTAAAGGTTGCTTGCCAAATAGGTTGGGTGGCTTGTCTGTGTTAGTTTGGGTTTTTTTAAGCAACCATACAAAAGGGTAAAGTGGGTTGTTTGTAGAAATTGCATTCGGTGTACATTTCTGTATGCTTGGGAGCGTAGCAGGGGGGCAGAAGAGGGCAAGGTTAGCTGCAACGTTCTTCCGTTGTTAAGCGAGGGCTTTATATGAATCACTGGTACATCTTTAACTATGCAAGTTAATGAAGGTTATTATGAGAATGTGTATTTACCTTGAGATAAAAGCCCAGGCTGCAGAGAAGTCTGGAATGGGGAAAGCAAGAATGAGGAGGAGAGCTGCTGCTTGGAAGGCAGAGGCTTGGTTCTTCGTGCTTGCAAGGGGATCTGCTGCTGGGGTCTTCTTCAGGAGAAGAAAGCCCCAGATATCAGTCCCAACTGTGACATCCCGGGGCCACTTCAATGACTTAGGAGATTTTCACGTAGCCTGTGGTGGTTCTTCGAAAGCTGGAGGTTAGATGGAGTTGCTATTAATAATGCAATTATAGTATCCTCTTTTTACACAGGCATTTCAGCCCAGAGGATGCCAAAATGCTTTAAACAATATCCTGAAATTGTTTTGTCTCTTTCAGTAGTGTGGTCATATCTAGGGGAAGAGGGCAGATGCCGCAGCTCTTGGCTGGTGCGCGGCAGCTTATCTGGCACCCTGAGGAGCACAGGGGCTGGGAAGGGAAGCAAGTCAGCCGGGTCCATCTGGAGGTTCTGTCCCACAATTTCAGTGTCCAGCTCTTTTCCTCCATGGCTCCGGCTCTTTCCAGGCCTTCATTCCCACTCCTTCCACAGCCCCTCCTGCCACACCAACAGGGCTAAGTCGGATTCACTTCTGCACCACAGCCATGCTGTATGAAGATACAGCAGGGATGATGGATGTGTCTTCCAGGTTTCAGAAGGACCTTTAAGTGCCAAACAAGCTAGCTCCTGAGGGTGTAGCTTTGCCAGGCACAGCTCCCAAGTCATTTTTCTCCATCCCAGCCTAAAATTGGCAAAGGAGCCACGTTAAATCCCTAGTCTGTGCTCGGCAGGGAAGGTGAGGTGGGCTCACAAGCTCGCCCAGCCCTTCTGGCCTCAGCCTCTTTGGGCAAACGAAGAGCTATTTCACTTGATTCTCTCTCCACTCTTATAAGTCAACAAGCAGACTCTGCAAGACTTGTGCAAGGAGAGCACACAAGTGATAATTGAGAGCATTAAGGAGGCATTAGCAGCCAGGGCACTCGCAGCCCCAGCTGGAAACAAGGTTGGTGTCTGCTGGGAAAGATGCAATTGTGGGAGAGAGTATTCTCTTCCCTTCTTTTGTTGTGGAATTGAACAGCATAAAGTACAGCCTGTTCCTCCGTGTTCTCGTGCCCTGCAATGCTGTGAGGTTATTTTAGCAGGCAGCCAAGGAGACTCTGGTATTTTGAAGACATCTGTGGCGCCAGTGTTTTTCATATAATTTTTAACACTTTGATAGCATTAAGGACGTCTGGCAAGCCCACTGCCTCTGCTGTCTGCGCTACTGTGGCCACACTGCAGTCTTTTCTCGTCAGACCGATCCCGATCAGAAACGCCGCGCTAGCATGCAGTGATGCTGCTTGCGGGTTGAGTAAGGGGGCAAATATTTCTGATCCTCCTGGTGTCTTTGACGTAATGACCAGGAGGAGAACAGTCCTCTCCTGCAAGGCTGTTTTGAAGGCCAGTGATATCTGAGTGACATTCAGGCAAGTAAAGTATATTTTGGCTCTTGTCACAACCCAGTTTTCAAGCAAATGGGGTGCTTTATTTCGTTCGGTGCTGCCTTCTCTTTAAAGACGTCCTCAAGTGTCAACCAGGAGTAGCTGAAATCAGCAGCATTACTGCTGGGTGAGCTCCAACCTCCTGGGCCCAGTGCCAGAAGCAGCCACTGCCTTTTGCTTGGTCTCCCCAAAACCTATCCAAGTGTCCCCATCCACCCTCCAGTCAGGGACGTGTTACAGAGGAAAACTGTCCCCTCACCTTATTTCCCTGAGCCTCAAGGAAAGTTTTCATTGATGCTTGAATGGCATTTTATAGGAAGGATCCCATGCTTGCACTATTGCATTCCTGTTGGGTTTTTTCTACCACTAATACCTGATTCCTAAATATAAGAAAAATAGGAATTTAGTTTCTAAATAAGAGGAAACAAAATCTGGTTCCTGTTCCACCCGAATCATCCTTGTTACGCTTGTCCGTGTCATCTCTGTACCCGGGCTCTGTGAGGGCAGCCGGCATTTCTCCTCACACCACAAAACATGTGGCAACGTGTTTGATTTTAAAACACCCTGAACACTCAGTCCTGTGCCTCAAGCAAAGAATTCACCTGAGCTTTATTAAAGGCTGAAGGAGGGATGAAGGAGACTGAAGGGACTACGTGAGTCTCCGAGCCATGATCCGTGGTAGCCACCTTTGGTTCAGTTCTCCCACTCCCTCCTCATTATTAGCTAAATGGAAGCCCTATCTAAATTGGGTGTAGCAGCTTGATAGGGCTCAGATCACCGCTAATGATGTTAGCCTGGTCAGATCTAATCAAAAATAATTGAAAGTGAGAGGTGTGCCGGTCAGTCTTCTCCCAGCAGCAGAACACAAAATGCCTGCCATGTTGTGTGGAGAGAGGCCCCTGGACGCCGCATCTATGGAGGGGGCTGGAGGGTGGGCCTTGGGGAGAGGGGAACAGAGGGGAAAAATGGGGCAAAGCGAGCGCCGCTGTGTAAGATGGATGGCTAGAAGGCTGTATTAGGGTATTACATTTGAGGATGTGGCAGGAGCTGCCCTGCCCTGAGCAGACCCAGCGCTGCCTGAGCTGGGATGGGGGGCTGTCCGCCATGTTGAAGGTGTGAGGGGGCCTCACGCTGTGCCTCTCCCCTTGCAGGTCTGCGGCGGACGCCCAGCCGGCTGTCAGGGCTGAGCGCGGCCTGCCCGCTGCCCAGCCCGCCGGGCGGCACGCTGACCTGCGAGCTGCAGGACTGTCCCTTCTGCGCCAGCCTCCTGGAGGACCCCGAGTTCGCCTTCAGCGAGTCCGACAGCTGCGACTCCGACAGCAACGGCGTCTACGAGTTCACCCAGGACCTGCGGCACGGCGACCACAGAGACCAGCTCCAGCAGCAGCGGGGCAGGAGGAGGAAGAAGAAGAAGAAACCCAAGGAGAGGAACAAGGTCACCCGCCTGTGGAAAGCTTTCGGCAGCAAGCTGAAGAGGATCGTGGAGAGCAAATATTTCAACCGGGGGATTATGATCGCCATTCTCATCAACACGCTGAGCATGGGCATTGAGTACCACGAGCAGGTGAGTGCGGGACTGGCCTTGAAGAGCCCTGAGGTTTTGTGGTTGCAGGTGCTCATGGCACGGTGTGTTGCGGTGACTCTGTCAGAGCCTTGCCAGAGGAGGACCAAGCAGTTTTCATGCGGGTTGGTAGCACCAAATGGGACCGAGGGCCTGATCCTGCGGACGTGTGATGAGCAGGAGCATCTTTCTGTGTGCGAAAAGCCTGGAAGGTGGCTGACAGTGCTGCTGAGGTGTGGAGAGTTTAAATGTGTGTGTTAGGACACATCGGCTCAGAGCCTGACTGCTCAAGTTGTTTGCTGTGAATTACTCATAGGTGAGAACCGTTCTGGTGGAAATACCCCTTTGGTCTGATGGTGGTGATGCACAGTGGCTCTTGCAGTGTAAATAACCCACACAGAAGTTTCTTCTTTGATATGGCCCTGTAAATAAAGACTTAAACTGTCAGGCGATGCTAAAAGCAACAAAGGAAAAAACAAAGTTTCTCCCTGAAGGCTCCAAAACCTTTAATTTGATATTATAGGGTGCAAGTAGGTCTGTCTTTTAAGTGTTTGGAGGGAGAAAAGAGAAATCGTACTGTTGCCACTCTGAACATGGTGGTGGCAGAACGCAGTGCTGGCAGCTGAGGACAGCTTGTCCTTGTTGTTGGCTGATGGGAGCTCGAGGGGCTGTGCAATGGGAGAGGGCCATGAGTCATCTGAGTGTCTCCAGTTGGTCACTCTAGGGAAAGCTATGCTTTCCTGGGCTTTTCTGTTTTTGGAAAAACTGCTTACTTTCAACTGTTTTTTCAAGACGTGCTCTGGAATTTTGCATGCTGCCTCTGTACCAGGTGCAGGAAACGCTTCCCAGCAAGGTCAGGAGGTCCTCATACAGATTGTCTGTGAGGTGGATGGTCAAAGGTTCATTCAGTGCTCCCCCAGAATCTCCACCACAGGATCAGGACCAGGTCAAGGTTATTTGTAGAGCTGTTCCTCCTCTCTGCCTCAGTCTGTCTGCTCAGGAGTGAGGAGAAAAGGCAGACAGAGCATCATAGTACATCCAAAGGCTCTGCATTTTCTTCTCTGTCGTTGCCCAGGATTAGGTCCTGCTCAGGACCACGGCAAACAATCCTCCAGAGTGCTGCTACTTTATTTTTTTTTCCACTTGTGTGCTTTAAACCCCTATGTTCTATGATATCTGAGGCATATTTTCTTTCAGAAAAGCAAGTACTCAGCTAAAACATAGGAACCTCAGCCATGCAACAGTAAATTAGTTCACACTTACAGCAGAGAGCGTCCAAACTCAACAAGGAAATAGCTGTCACTGTCAGCTTTCTGTCTGGTTAGTGGTTCCACAACAAGTTTTAAAATTAGGAAATACACCTTGTCAGTTGCCTTTGAATAGACCATTCATTCCTCGCGGCGGCTGCGTTTCTGCATGGATACTCTTTTGTCAGGCGGATACAGCTTTGTCAGTCCTTGGATATTGCCGTGATGGGTGCTGGGGGAAAACCTTAGGCAGGCTGCAGTGAGAAAGCCCAGGGATCGCATGGAGTCTGTCCACAATCAGTCGTATAAAAGTAAATTGTGATAATTACATCCTTGCTGCTAACAAAGGAAAACTGTAGCCGGCAGGTTTATATTGGATTTTACCTTGTAAAAGATTTGCTTTAAACCATCGCAAAGTCAATGGCAATAAAGATTCTGAAGTTTTTGGCTACAGAGCATCAGACTCCCGCCAGCTTTGCTCACAGGCACTGCCCAGTGTGGGCCCAATAAAAAGAGAGGAATTTTGAAGTGAAACCTGTAAAAGTTTCTCCACGTGCCTGACTGCAAAGTGTTGCTGGTACGCAGTGGGGCTAACGAGCCGTGGAGCTGTCAGAACCCAGCTTCGAAACACCTCGCCCAAGCACTCTACTGTCAACAGAATGACCTCCAGGGCATTGCCAGAGGCTGAGACACGATCCGAAAGCAATAGAAAATGGCTCTAGGCTCTCAGACTGTTTGGCATGGAAGTTTGGGGCTTCTGTGAGCAAAGCAGGGTGATTTCAGAACCCGCAGCCCTCCTCGTGTGAGAATTGGCTGCAACACTTGGGGTTGGGGCCTGGCTTTGTGTGGAGATAAGGAGGAGATGCCTGAGCGAAGTTGTCACAAACCCACAGCGTGGTGTTGGGACAGAGGGGAGGTGAGAATGGCTCGTTTTGGGTATGCCATGATTCTTGCCAGGAAAAACAGTTTAATCACAGCTTTCTGGTTACTGAGTGATGGATGCTGCCAAGTCACTCTGCACCTCTGCTCACAGCAGGTATTACAAGGCGAGAAGGTGTGAGCCTTCCCCTGGCTGTTAACCAGGTGTGGGTGTTGCCATGGTCTCCTTCTCCATCCTCCCAAGGGCAAACCTGGAGGCTGTTGCCCAAGTCACAAGGATTTAGGAGCTGCCTACAAGGATAGTTACTCTGTGGCTCTCCTCTGCTTTCCGTGCTCCCCCCGAGCTGTTTGGCGTTACCCAGAGAGCTCAAGTTGGGAAGGCCTCCTGTGCTCTGTGTCTGCTGACAGCAGCATGGGCAGCGGACTCCTGGACCCTCAAGCCCTGCAGAACACCACCTACCATGGAGACATTTACTCTGGGTGGAACAGCTTAAGCAGGTTCCCTGGTCTTGACTCTTGCCACTTGTTTCCAGCCATTGACTGGTTTTCTCACACTGGGCTGCAATCAGTGCAGCAGCCACAGGGAAGCCCTCCCCAGACCTCATTGTCTGAAGGAAATGCTCAATCCCTTTTATAAAAAAATATTAATGGCTGTTTGCTTTTCTTTTCCGGCTTCTCAGACTTCATAGTCATCAGTGGCTTTGCAAATAGATGGGCACACTATATAGGTTTTTATTTCAGAGTGCTATTCAAAGCCAAGGCATCAATCCTCTGTGTGTGTGGGAGCGGTGGAGAGTACTGGACAACATATGGCATGGAAGATAGAGCAGTACTAGTCCTTGGTGTGTTATCTGGCCTTTTATCCCGAGACATAGCAGCACTCTGCAGAGAAGTCTCACGGAGCCCTCTTGAGGCAATCGAGCATTATTGTCCGTATCATCTGGATGAGGAGATAGAGGTTGCAAGGTGCCAGGCTGGAGGCAAAACCCGGTGGGCTTTACTGATGGCCCTTATTGTAGCCGCAGGGCAAGGGGGCTTGTGTGCCATAGCAGCATTTTGGGAGCACCCTTTGACAAGACAGGAAGGTGTTCTGTGTCTGTACTGCTGCACTCCTGGATGCTACCTCCAGATGAATGAGAGAGATCTGTCCATACCCAAATCCCCTCAAGGCTTCAATATGTGTTTTTATGGAAATTTGAAGCTCACAGCACTCTGCTCACACAGTTACTCTGGCTGCTTTTGGCTATCATAGCTGGCACCACCCCATTTAATGCATGTAGCCCATGTAATATCCTTTAAGGCAAGGATCCTGTCCTGTGGCTAAGGGCATGACCGCTGTAGCAGCTATCTGACTCACGGGAAAGATGAGGAGATGCTGGAACTGCTTTGCACAGAGCTGTCCTTTAGCAGTCCTGTTCTTTTCAGAGGCAGATTGAAGATTTCATGGCAGCACAGCCGGTTTGCGGCAGGAGATCCGGGTAGCAGGAGGCAGCTGATGATGGGAAGTGAGTTTCTTGGGGACTTCAGTCATTAGCAGCAATTGGATCCTCCCGCACAGCGCATCCGCAGGGTTAACAGCCGGCTCTGCCTCCCAACTGCCACGTTGTACATGGCTGGTAATTAGGAGGTTACAGGATGCTGTTAGTTAGCAGCAGCACAACTTGTATTTCAAAGGTTAATTGGCTGGTTTGGAGTTCCTTCCCTCCCCCCCCTCCCCCACCTTGTGCTTTATTTATTTATTTGTCTATCTCCGGCACAAGTAAGCACTCCCACAGATAAGGAAAGCCAAGTACAAAGAAGAAGGCAATCCTTGCATTAATCTTCCAGGCAATTTCAATACATTGGATGATTTTGTTATGCATTCATTGCAGCTGACGATTCTCCAGAGTATCTGAGAACGTGCCGTGGCACTGCAGCAACCAAGCAGGAGCAGTGCACTCCAAAAGCATGACCTCTGCTGTGCCTTTGGGGCAGTGGGGAGAGATGCCTGGCACAGGCAGTTACTGTTCCAGGAGCTGTGTTTCCAGGTGCCTCTCTGCCACTGATACCTTTTTGTCCCAGAGTCAGCTCCTGTGTGTGCTTCACTGACTGGTCTGAAGAAGTAATTGCAACTTCTTCGGTCTGCCTCGATTCCCAGCTCCCCGATTGTCCAGTAGAAGGGCAAAGTCCTGCTTATTTATCCAAGAGAGATGCTGGCATTATCCCTGCAGAAGGGTGAGCTCTGAATTCATCCCTGAGGAACTCTGGTTTAAGTTGTGAGGAGAGACCCCCACTTGGCTTCCCAGAGGAATTTGCAGAAGTAGCTGTTGATACTTGTAATGATTCCACATAAAAGGCTCAATTTACATCAAATGGCACTAGAAATGCTATTTTATATTCACTTCTCAGAAGAGACGTACAAATTAGTATTTGTTCCAAGCATTGCTGTTCAAAGAGCTTTTAATTGCTTTTCTGATCCCTCTTCCATGGCATGTTTCGTTCAGAGCAGCTGTCTTAGGAGAAGGTTGGAGCTGACCTTGGTGGGCACCCAGTGGTCCATTGCTTATCAGTCCAAGAGAAGTATTGGTTTTGAGTAGCGCTTTTTATTATTCTGGACTAAAAGTAATTCTGTGTGATTTAAGGTAGCAACTAGCTTCTCTAGTGACGTTCTATTTTAGCATTTGTCAATTTTGGCTTGAAAAATTGGTTTGGCTTGAAAAATTGGTTTGGCCTGGGAAGCTCAGCACTTACTCAGAAAGCAGAGGAGAATCTTTCAGCAGTGTTTGAAGCAAATTGCTTAAATTCCTTTCGAGTTGTGAGTCAATAAAATATTATCCTGATCTGAGATTCTCACCTTCAGCTAGCAAAACTTGTTCACCCTTCCAACTTTTTGCATGA